TTAAATAAATAAAATTTGTATTATCTTTAAATACTTAAAATTACAATTCAACAGATCGAGTGTGAAAATATTAGTTGGAAAGATTTTAATTTTACAAGAGAACAAAACAACAGCTATAAGGTCTATTCATTGAATTTCGAAAGTTGCCTGTTACCAGAAGAAACTACATTAAAAGATATTGTAACAAAATTAGGAATAATTGAAAAACATAGACTTAGCTTTCAGTCTCATAGAAATCTTAGCCAAAGTCTAACAAAGGAACATTTCCAAGGATTTTCAAATGTAACCGAATTAGGTTTATCCTATAATGGTTTAACTAATATATCATCTGATTTCTTTACAATTTTTTCTAATTTGAGATGTCTTGATTTGTCTGAAAATTCTCTTGTTTTAAGCAAAAATAATTTTGATAATACTTTGAATCTTAAGAAACTTGATTTACATGGAAATGGAATGACAGAACTTCCCTTTGGTATATTTCATTATCTACAGAATTTAAGAACTCTAAATCTGGAAAGAAATTCATTAAAAACACTTGATGAGGGAATATTTGATAAATTAAATTCATTACGATATTTAAACCTATCATCGAATTTGTTGTTGAGTTTACTGAAAGATATTTTTAAAAATTTAGAGAAATTAGAAATAATTGATTTGTCAAATAATAATTTTTGGTATCTTCCATCAGAATTGTTTGCTTTAAATAAAAATTTAAAAAAAATATTAATACAAGATAATATAGATAATTTAACATCATTGCATGATGTCTTTATAACGAATTTAAAGAATCTTGAAGAAGTTCATATGAGAAACAGTAAATTACAGTTTATACCAGACAAATTTTTCACGGGTACAACATCTGTAAAATTCATCGATTGGAGTGAGAATATTTTTGAAAATATAAGCGAAACGACCTTCGTAGATGTATTTAATACTACATATCTTAACATTAGTCACAATAGGATAATAAAGCTTCCTGATTTAGTTTTTCAAAATTTTAAAAATTTAGAAGTACTCGACTTGTCTTTTAATCGAATTTTAGACGTACAGAGGTAGATTATTATAAAATTTCTAAAATATATACTTTTAATCTAATAGGTGTACAACTAAGCTTCCGCTATTTTTTATCCAAGTCATCTGTATAAAAATCTCGGAAGCAAAGTTGTACAGCAAATATTTTTCTTCAAACAAAAGTATTTTTTTAGGAAACTATTTAACGGTTTGACATCGTTAAAAGAACTTAACATGGAAGGAAATGTTTTGGAATATATCCATAGTAAAGCATTTTCAACCAATGAACAACTATCCATCGCAAAGTTCTCCGATAATCGTCTAAAATTTTATAATCCATTCAATATGTTATCACCTTTTTTTAATAATCATCGTCTTAAAGAATTGCATTTATCAAACAATAAAATTAATCATTTTTATTCTGATTGGACTACAAATAAACTAGAGTTAGAATTATTGGATCTGCGTCACAACGACATAAGTACAATATCGGTGCATATCAAATTTTACTATCCATAAATACATTAAATATTATCATTGAAATGATTCAAAATGAATTGATTTGATTTATATTTTTTTTTCTTTTATAGGCGAGTGATTTTGTTTTTTCGTCGGATAATGTTCTAGTAGATCTAAGATATAACAACATAAGTAATATTTTGCTAAATGATATCGAAAATTTGGTATTATTTGATACTGAAAAACGTAATGTTACTGTCCACGTTGAAAACAATCCCTTATTATGCGATTGTCACGTATATAACCTTTTGCGTTATTATAACGGTGATATGCCCAATACTGTTTATAATTTGTTTGAACTTAAATTGGGAAACTTAACGTGTGTGAAACCTTATGTAAAGGAAAGTCTACAAATTAATCAGTTAGATTTTAAAACCTACCAGTGTCCCGAGGATGAATACTTTCAAATTGTAGATCGGCATCCAAGTTTATGTACTTCTGAGATAAGACCGTATGATCAAACACGAATTATAGATTGTTCGAACAAATTGAAGGTTGAATTAAAAATTAACAGCAATACTATAAATTTGAAGGGAAATTATCCATTAATATTGAATCTCACAGGGAATTATTTAAGGGAAATACCATCACTTGATTATATAAAACCTCTTAACTTAACACATTTATTGTTATCTAGCAACAATATTTCTGAAATATCGTTGGACAGATTACCAACAACTCTCAAAGTACGTAAATAACTTATTTTATTATTTTTCCTTTTCATTCATTCATTTGAGTTATTTCATAATTGTCTCTTCTATCTAATTTTACGTTTTTAGGTATTAGAATTACATAATAATCATTTATTAAGCTTGAGTCACGAAGTACTTCAATTCTTTTTTGATCAATATTACATAGAATTAACTTTGAGTGGGAATCCATTTATATGTGAGTGCAATGTTAGATTTTTATATTCATTTGTTTTGAATAACCAAGCTTATTATAAAGATCTAAAAAATGTGAAGTGTCAAGGCTACGACACTCCTTTAAGTGATATTAGAGTTTTTTCATTTTGTTTTTAAACTGATCAAAATAACAATACGTCAAAAATGTAAAATAAAATAAAACAAAAATAATGCTTTCGGCAGAATATATAAAGAGATAAATATTACATGTATAGCGTTTTTTAGCAAAAAATATTTTTATTTCATAGCAATCAAGTCTATATTGTTTTAGAGTAGATATTTTCGATACATGTGTGCAAAGTGAGGCATTTCAGTGCTCAAAAATTGAAACACGAGCCTAAGAAACGACGTGTTTACAACGGGGCCGAGGACACAGATTACCCCTGGTAAGCTAACTCGGTTTCGTCGTAAACGCCTTGTTTCTTCTGGTGAGTGTCTTAATTAAGCCCTGTGAATGCCTCAGTTAGGACATATTTATCGAACAATATTTTTTATAACGACTGCTTTCAAAGTTCAATAGAGAAAAATTATTCATTTACAAAGAATTGTTGTAATTAGCTTAACTATATTAGTTATCAGAAAATTTTAATCAATCCATAATATGGTTACATTTTAAATAAAGTTGTCATGTGTAACATTTTTAGCAGCAGATACTAGGTCTGGAGGCGTACAAGGTCTCGTTAATTCATTCATTGTATACGTAGATTTTTAACAACTTTTTTTTTTAATTTTAATTAAAGTGATAGATAATTTTCATTCCCGCACGGTCAATCGGTTGGAAAGTACTACTTTCCTGCACGCTACTATAGTAACAACTATAGTTACTACATAGTTACCACCATCACGGGAATATGCGACTTTGCGAATGCTAAACAAGACTAAAAAATTGAACTTTAAAAGCAGGAGTTACAAAAAATATGCTAAAAGAATATAAACCGGTTAGTGTTTAGTATTGTCTATTTTATAATTACATTTATAATCTTTTAATTATTATTTATATTACAATATTATATTTGAATCAACGATGTTATGGAAAACGATAGTAGAAGTATTTTTTCAACATATTAGGAAAATATGCCAACGAAATTGCTTTGCGAATATGAAAAAGAAAGAAATCTTTTTTTGCACAAAAAAGAAGTAAAGATAAAAATAATTCAAGAAGTATTAGTTTATATTTCTGAAAATATTATATCTCAAATACTATATCAAATGGTTATTTAATTTATTAAAATTAACTAATTAAATTTATGGACTTTTAAATATAATTTTAATTAAATAATGGTACTAAAATAAGGTATATTTTTTTTTTCTTCAAAATATTACTTCTAGCAGAATAAAATATTTGTTTTTACCAACTTAAATACTTTTAAAGAATTTCAATATTTTATTTTAAAAAGTTATACATTTGAAAAAATAAAATATATATTTTGTTTTTGTAATACCAATAGTAGAAAAAATAAAATATATTATTTTTAGAAGTATAACTTTTTTAACATATAAAATATATTATTTCTAAAAATAAATGTACGACATAAATAATACTATTTATTTTCTATTTATTATGTAAAACAGCATCATAAGTAGCTACGAACTTTAATATTTTTTTTTATAATTTATATTATATGTTACATTTATTTTTATTGTTTA